AGCAAGCCGAGAAGACCCAACGCAGACTCCCAACGGTTTTTTCCAAAAAAAAAAAAAAAAACTTCCAACGGTTTCGTTGCTCGTCCCCGGCGATAGCGCGACGGTTAAACCTCGGAATTTGAGAATGGCGGGAAGGCTTTTGAGAAGGGGATGCTTATCTCCTTCTATATAACCCACCTCACGTACCCATAGAAGAAGAAGAAGAACCCGAGAAGACCCAACGCAGACTCCCAACGGTTTTTTCAAAAAAAAAAAAAAACTCCCAACAGTTTCAGTTGCTGTCCCCGGAGATAGCGCGACGGTTAAACCTCGGAATTTGAAAATGGCGGGAAGGCTTTTGAGAAGGGGATGCTTATCTCCTTCTATATAACCCACCTCACGTACCCATAGAAGAAGAAGAAGAAGACAGATTCTGAAATCAAGATTTTGAAGTAATCGAAGATATGGCAGCAAGCTCTTCATCTTCTCAAGATCCAGGTTTTTCTACTCTCTAAAGTTCTTTCCTTTACCCTGCAAATGTTCTAGAATTTTAATCGAGAAAAAAGGTTTCCGTTTCCGACCCACTATTCTTCTGGGTGTTTTTTTAGGATCGAATCACAGTTCTTGATGTGCAAGAAAGTGGGATTTTTCATCTCAAGTAGTTGTTTTGAAAGTGGGATTTTTCATCTCAAGTAGTTGTTTTGATTATTATTATTATTATTATTATTATTATTATTATTATTATTATTATAAAATTTAAATAAATTATTTAATCCCAGTGGATGTATATGTGATAGAATTAAATTTTGAATTGAAATTATACTAAGGTGAGAAACTCAGGGACTAAAAACCTTATAGTTAAAGTTCAGAGACTAAGTGGTAATATTCCCTTTTGGTGAAAACCCCCAAATCAAATTGGGTCGGCAGTCCAGTCGGCAGTTTCATTTTTTTTGTTCTTTCTTTCTTTTCGAGAAACAAGATCGATTTCTTTCTCTAGCCAGCGAGGGGGACTCTAGGGACCGGCCATATTAGACTAATTGAAGGTAAATTGTCTTCTTAAGTTTAGAATTTTTAATGATTAAAAGAATAATGAGGGATTGATTTTACTATAATGGTTGATTTTGAAATTGATTTTTAAAATTGTGAATTTGACTAAGAAATTTTGAGATTGTTGAGATATAATAAAAGGAGGGGAGAAGTTACAATATTTAAGGTTGCATCAAGTGAATTGCATATTATGTTTTGTATATGAGACAAGGATTTGTACAGTAAGTGTGTTTTAATTGGAGGAAATTATGATGGTGGGTGCAAATACTAAATTGAGTGAGAAAGTAGGACATAGATATGAGAAATTGAGATTAATTCCTGTAATATTTAAATAGCACTACTATTTAGTGATTGGATTATATTTATTTGCTGTTTTTTTTTTTAAGCTCCGAGTAGTTGTGTGGAATTGTAATTAAAAGATAGTTATTGAGGTAAGTAACTATATCCTCCAGTGTTTTTAAAATAAATCAATATATTTAAATGAGTTTTGCCTAGATTTGATTTATTTATCTATTTGATTATTTATTCATATTTTTAATGATGGAATGAGATAATTTGTGGATAAGTATAATATTTTTTTATTTAAATTTGAGATGAGATTGTGGTCATGTGGAGGTGGTTGATTTAAATTTGTTTTCTTCAATATTATTGAAATTGTTATTTTTGGAATGATTTTTTTTATTTGTCTTGGCTGGATGATTCACTCTTGTGAGAGTTGAGTTGTTGGTATTGTGATAGACTCAGGATCTATGGATTGTGAATTGTGGATTATGGATCATGTATTATGGATCATGTATTATGGATTGATGATTGAGTATCATTGATCGTGGATTGTGGATTGTTACATAGCCATAAAGGATGAATAATGAAGTATTATGGTTTCAAGGAAAGAATTGTATTTCTTTTATCATTTCATTTCCAATAAAAACTTAGTTTTAAATTTTGTGCTTGGTTGTGATGGATGAGTATACTACTTATGGAGTTCTTAAACTCACGTTTTCAAATTTCATTTCATTTCAGGTGAAGAGATATGAGTATTGAGATTTGCATGGGAATTGAGAGGTCATTAGAATAAATTGGCAAAATTTAGCAATAACTCAATTAGAAGTTTATTTGGTTTTATGGAATAAGATGTTAAACATTTATATTTTGGTTAAGGGATTTGATATTGTTATTTGGAGGCTATTAAGATTTGTTAATAAAATTGTTTATTTTAAAATTGCAAGGGAGATTGTATTAATAGCCAAGGAAAAATGGCATTACACATTTACAGGGTTAATCTATAGATGTGTAGCGTTTGTTATGCCTAAATCTTTGGGTTGGGGCATGACAGATTGTGAACTAGGAATTTTGAATTCTCAATCATTTATCTTTGCACCGAATATGGTGGTGCGCTGAATTCCCTGTTAATTTTGAATCTGAAGGTACCGACTCCAGAAGGACTTCACTCGAACCTCTCTTGAGTGTAGGGAAGGTAAGTTTCCTTTCTTTTTATAGCAATAATAATCATTTTTGTATCTTTAATTTGGTATATTTCTTTAACTGCCATATGAATCAGTGAATTGCTGCCTTTGTAATTGCTTGAAATTTATATGGTGATTAGTTTTTTCTTTGAGTTCAAGTGCATGTTTGATCAAATTTGTGTTAGAAGTGGCTATCTTTCGTTTTTAGATTTAGCAGCTAGTGATGGGTCTTATACTTGTGGCCTCATTTATTGGTTTCCTGGTGTGGATTCAGCCTAGTTACAATTACATTGGCTCTTAATAGAGGTAAAGGTCAATCGATATCTTGATACCTTGATGATATTGGGATGCTTCTTTTGGGTGGTGTTGGCCAGGAGCAATTGAAAGAGGAATTTCCATAGAGCTGATAATAGTTAAACCCACATAAATCAATTGACTTGTCTATAAATTCTATTTATGTTAAAGCATTGCAATATGTCACACGAGATACTTTCGTTGCAGGCATTTACAGGTCACCTGTCATGTACTCAACCACCAAGATGTTGGGGACTTACGCTCCATTTGGTATAGCAATTTTGAAGCAACAGTTAGTAGTTTTACTTAAACTATTAAATATAGGTGTTTGGTAAATTTATATATTTAGAAATCGTTACAAATGAAATATTTTGTAAAATTTTTATTTATCGGTTTAAGACTAGCAGATGGCGGTTAGGATCTAAACTATTAGCGGATTAAAAAAGCTAATTTATGTAATTTTTTGTACTAAACTGCTAGCGGATTAAATTTTTTTAATTTTTATTAATAAATTTATCCATTTTAATTTTTTAATTTGTGGTCACATTTTTTAATTAATAATTATTTAAAAATTTTCAATTTTATTTTTTTACTTTTAATAACA